GAAGACGATGGTACTTGCAGTAATATGGGTCATCCACCCTTGTAGCTTCATCGGGACGTTTCATTTCAGGCAACTCAATGAGCCTAAGTTTGAGTAGCTCATCAAACATGGGAGATACATCGGAATCCATGAAAGGATAAGTCTTCTCCTGCCTTTCTTCAATTGTCGGCCTTCTACCACCCCTTGACGGGCCAGAAAATGGTCTTGGCCTAGGACTTTCAGTTGCCTTAGTGAAGACTGTCATAGGAGTGGCCTTCACATTCATCACTTCTTTCTTTTCCTGCTTTGGAAAAGGTTTGTTCCACTTTTTAACTTCTTGTTTTCCAGGTGCATTGGAGGAGCTAGGCAAGTTCAATATGTTGAGCCCTCCGCTGGCTTCGATACTCAATTCCATGTCATGAGCACGACTGGATAACTCCTCAAAGGACTTTGGCTTAATCCCTTGTAGGATATAGGAGAGTTCAAAGTGCATTCCTTGGATGCACATCTCAATTGCAGAACTTTGGGATATTCTTTCTTTGCAATTGAGGCATAGTTCCCTCCACCTTTCGATGTAGGTACCAGCGCGTTCACCCTTCCATTGGCGAGTAGTGGTGAGTTCCAAGAAGCTGACCGTTCTCCTTGTGCTATAGAAACGAGTTAAGAACTCACGTTCCATATCATGCCAGCTATCAATGCAGCCGGGTGCAAGGTCAGTGTACCAATCAAACGCAGTTCCCTTTAATGAACGGACAAACTGCTTTACCAACAGATCGCCATAAGTCCCTGCATCATTGCATGTTTCCACAAAGTGGGCAATGTGCTGTCGGGGATTTCCCTTGCCATCGAATTGCTGGAACTTAGGAGGTTGATAGCCGTAGGGCATCTTCAACTCCTCAATTCTTTGTGTGTAGGGCTTAGCATAGGAATATGAAGGTTGTCCTTCATCCAACTTGCCTTTGATGGCCCCCATTATGTAGTCCTTCAACTGATCCACCGGTATCATACCTTCGGTAACTGGAATAGTTTTCTCAGTTGCAGGTAAGTGGGAAGCAGCTTCTCCTACCACATGGCTAACATGAGGTGGTGGTGATTGCTGACCAACCTCTTCTTGCCATTCAGGTTGCTTTCCTGGAGCACGACTTCCTTGCTCCTCCATGATGCTTCCTACCCTATTATCGAGGGTGTTAAGCCGTTTCTCTTGATTTTGGAGAGTGACAGCCATTCCTTCCAGAGACTTAGCAATTCTAGCTAATTGCTCCTCCACAGACTCCGTGTTTGTCGCCATGGCAGGCATGACATTGTAGACATGCGACCACTCAGGTGCAGCCCTCCATAAGGGATGAGGCGGAGTTGCGGGGGAAGTGCTCCCGCTACTAGCGTTCCCTTGCATAGAAGTTGGACTACCACCATCGGTAGCTCCCTTGAGAGAGGGTGGACTTCCAGCAAAAGCAATTGCCTTTGAGGCCGCAGGGGCCTTGTCGAGCCTTCGAACCACACGTCGTGCCATGGACTGAGGTTCAGGTACTCGGACCCCCAAATCCTTTGCGCGGTTCCTTGTCAGCGGACCTTGCGTTTTCTGGGTTGTGCCAGGGCTAGCTACAGGCGTAGACTTGGACTTGGTAGCTTGGGCATAGGTCCTCCTGAACATGGGATTGTTCGATGCCATTTGATGCGCAGGTAGAGGTATAGTAGTAGAGAGATGAGAGGCAGAGCGGTCCCACTGGGCGTGCCAATTTGTAAACAAAGAAAATTGAATAATATATATTAATATTCAAAGTTCTGATTTACATATCAAGTATCAATGCGGTGTGGGTATATGTCTCTGGATATCCTCTGATTCTTCAATTGGAGCCTTGAACACTCCACCATTGAAGGGCCTCCGGGTTTCAAGTGGCTTGATCTTCAAAGAAGGGCTTGTATATATAGCTTGTTCTTCTTGAAGGGCCTCCGGGTTCAAATGGCTTGATCTTCAATGGAGGTTTGGATCAATAGGCATAGGCATGATCATTATGGAGGAGAGACTTCTACTTTCAGTATCACATTTTTATTGTGATCCTGAATAATATTTTTCTAGATGTTTACATCACTTTTCCTAGGATGTGTGTGATTACATAGAAATGAGAGCTCCTATTTATAGCTGTAGGATAGAGAGTTTTGATAAGCTCAAACTCTTTTGATATTATCTAATTAACAAATTAGATAATATCAATATTATCCAAAATATTTCAAATATATTCAAATATACTAATATTGATAAATAATCAATATTTATCAAAATTTAAGTGTCTACAAATGCCCCCTCGAGACTTGCTTGTACACCACTTGAGAGCATATAAAACTTGAAAGTATGTAGTGCAAGAAAGTCTCGACACTACAACTTAAAGATATAAGGCCGTTTCAACTCGTGCCAAGGAGCCTTGAAAGATATGAGGCCGTTTTAACTCGTGCCAAGGAGTATCATTTAGCCTCCTCCATTTCAAATTTCATATGGGGTTTGCCCCCATACCGGTTGAAAGTGCCTATGAAGAGATGAGAGGCAGAGCTGTCCCACTGGGCGTGCCAAAATATGTAAACGCGAAAAACTTGAATTGTATATATTCAAAATTCAAAGTATCGGTTACAATGAAGTATCAAGTATATATCAAACAGGAAGGGGTACAATCTCTGTATATGAGAAGTCCTCTGATTCTCTACTAGCAGTATGCCTATTGGAAGTGTGCCGAATTTGGAATATGCCAAATTGGAAGTGTGTCGGGTTCAGAGTATGCTGAACTTGAAGTAGTTCTTTGTTGGAAGTATGCCGAATCCGGAATATGCCGAATTGGAAGTGTGCCTAGTTCAAAGTATATTGAACTGGAAGTATGCCAAGTTCGGGAGTATGCCGAACTGGAAGTATGCCGAGTTCGGGAGTATGCCGAACTGGAAGTAGTTCCTTGCTGAAGGGCCTCCGGAGTTATGTAGCTTGTTCTTCAATGAAGGGCTAATATGCGGCTTGATCTTCAAAGAAGGGCTTCCGGTGTTCAAGTGGCGTGTTCCTCAGCGCGGTATACGCAGTACAACTGCGGGCGTGTTCCAGACGATATCCTGGAGAGATTTCGGCAGAGCTTCGATATGCAGATTTCCAGAGCCCCTTCTTTGAAAATGAAACCACTATTTATAGTGGTGAGGGTGAGAGAAAATCTCCAACCAACTCTTAATTCCTTATTTAATTTAATTTCTTTAATTAAATTAAGGAATGTATCGGGACTCTATTGCATCCAGGTTCATGATTTCATTAAATTTCCAAATAATATCAAATATTCAAATTCCTCAAAATTATATAACCCACATATAATTTTAGTGGGCCAAGACCAAGTCAAGCCTGCTAATTAGGCAACCCAATTCATTCAAGCAGCTTGGTCCAACTCGATTAAATATTTCATCATCTCGGGCCAAACAATCCAACATCCAATTACATTTAATTAAGTAATTAAACCAACTAAATATTTAATGGGCCATTTAATTAACCGATTAAATAAATATTAGTCCAATTAGCTTAATTAAAGTAATTAATTTAGCAACCAATTATCCACCACGATCCAATAATATTATTTAAATTTTTCAATGCTTACACACACACCCAAAGCATGGCTTAACCACTCCCACCAATCCATCCCCTCGTCCGGTTGTTAAACATGCAAAGAGAGCCACACCGTTCTAGCCAGGGGGCGATGGTAAAAAAATGTGAACTAGAGACTCAAGATCTTGGCTACCAATAGGGAAATTAATAGGGACCTCAACTCATCATTGTGTAAGGCGCAATGTAGTCGAGAGAACATCGCGAGTTGCCTTCCATAGGAAATTTCGGCACCTATGGTACATCCAACTTCCAAATTGTATTCCAAGTAGAAAAGCCATCACCAGATTCCACAAACTTTCCGACTAGCCGTCTATACCCATTTCGTACAGTGTAGTTACCACGCAAATCCCCAGGCCAAAACCAACCATCCTCATGGTCCGGTGAAATCGGGGTTCTCAAGATGGCCCCAACATCCTCATCACCAAAGAGCTCATGTAAGATACCCAAATCCTACCCATTAGTCTATGTATCAATCAGACTGGCTAGAGTTTACTTGGACGCTCAACTTCGTTTGGCTAGAGTTTACTCGGGTCTAGTGGACGCTCAACTTCGTTTCCTAGAAGCAAAAACAAGGGTCTTGGCTAGAGTTTACTGGATCACCACCTGAGTAGTGACAACCACGCTACCTCCGCAGTGCCGACCACTAATAGCCCCATCAGTGTATATCTCCCACCACTCCGCCTCGTCGGGTACATAGGCCGGTTGAGGATCGCTTGACTGAGCAGAGCATTTGACTATGAAATTGGCTTAGGCTTAAGCTTTGATGGATGGTCGATGTGCATACTCTATCCCGTACTAAGTGAGCTATATCGCCCACTTGAGTACTGCGCAATACGTTGTCCAGCGGTAAGTCGGTCAATACCCTAACTTGGTGAGCTTGGAAATAGGGGACCAACTTTTGAACCATGATGACTAAGGCAAAAGCTACATTCTCAAGTGGTGAATAATTAATTTTTTCTCCTTTCATTGTCCGCCCCACGTAATACACATGCAATTGTATCTTCTCATCCTCGTGAACCAACACTGATCCGACTACCTTCTAGGAGGCGGCAAGATATAAGAATAGAATTTCGCCTTCCTTGGGCTTTAATAGCAAAAGAGGAGTCAGGATATACTTTTTCAAATCCTCAAAGGCAGCTTGACATTCCTGTAACACCCCCTTTTTCTTAACTTTAAAACTTAGATTTTAGCAGTCTAAAAAGACAAACATAGCGGAATAAAGATAAACTAGGATATATATATATATATATATATATATATATATATATATATATATATATATATATATATATATATATATATATATATATATATATATATATATAAATCCCAAAACATGCTAAGAGAGTGTCACCGCCATAGTTACCCACCCTCGAGTAACTGCACAGGCTAAAACTACAATCATAAACGAGTCACAGCTCAAACATCATCATCAAGGGGTATATGAACCCCGGAGTCTAAGTACCAAACAAAAGGAGGTAGTCTAGCTACATCAGAACTACAATAATCCAAAAATAAGGAAGGATACTAAGGCTAGCATCTACTAAACCCTAGGGCTACCACCTAGAAATAATAAACCAATCTAAGCTTGGCTAACTAGGAGAGACTATGAGGATGTCTAGAAAAAAGCTTGGTCCGCAAGCGAGGGGGATTTCATCAAGGTAGTGGAGGGAGTCACCACGATGAGTTTAGACTGGAACCACAAACTTTTTGGCAACATCTTTAAAACAAAAAGAAGGATTCAGGCATGAATTAGGGGCATTCAGGACTCGCTTCTCATGTTCGTAGATGAGGTTGGAGAGCCACTACCTAGAAATAATAGACCAGTCTGAGCTTAGCTAACTATGAGAGATTATGAGGATGTCTAGAAAAAAGCTTGGTTCGCAAGCGAGGGGGATGTCATCAAGGTAGTGGAGGGAGTCACCACGATGAGTTTTGTTAAAAATTCAGAATTTGAGAGACCTGGCGGGTGGAGAATATCCACCACCCGCTAGTAAGGCGGAAGCAAGATATATGAGAACCAAAGAACAAGAGAATAGATTATATTGAAAGAATACAATAGATTGTCTCTCTCTTAATGTATATTCTATACTTCTATGGACCTCTATATATACTAAACTAGATACTAAATTAGTCTAGGAAACTACTAATTAATAAGAATAGGAAAGGAAGAGAATAGGAAAGTAAGACAACTTTCCTAATATTCAACACTTGTGATTTCTTTCCTTAACATGTGATTTCTGTGATTTCTTTCCTTAACACCCTCCCTCAAGTTGGAGCATGTAACAGAGAAATGCCCAACTTGGGAATAAGAGACTTTTGATTGACGTTGTTGCTAGCGTCCCTCTTGTCAGCGTCGACGACCTCCGTGTCTAAATCTCTAAGACTGCCTAATCTATAGAGATTCCAAATATTATATTTATATTCCATAACATTACAAATATATCACATGAGCCATAGGACTTCACATCTAGAGTCATAACCTTCGAGATCAACACCCATGTCTCAAACCACTTGATCAATCTTCAAACCACGTTGTGCCAAATCAGTCCACCGTTCAATCTGTTGCACAAACTAAGCTTCCACGAAGCCAAAAAATAGGCCAAACACCACAGCGCACCTGCCACTCACACCGCACACTGTTATCAACACTGCCTAACACCACAGTGCTCCTGCCTCTCGCACCACAAACCATCATTACCGCTGCCCAACACAGTGTTTTCCTGTTTTCCTGGTGCACACAATTGGTTCATCCCGAACCAATTCTTCTTCAACCATCGGCCTCCCATAACTGCCGTGGCATATGCCAGGTCCGCATCCCTCCTAGCATCCGTGCTGCCCATCACTGCAGCACCCTGACAATTGGTTCAACCCGAACCAATTCTTCTTCAACCATCAGCCTCCCATAACTGCCGTGGCATATGCTAGGTCCGCATCCCTCCTAGCATCCGTGCTGCCCATCACTGCAGCGCCCTGGACTGATTGACATTGGACAAGCTACAACGACTCAACTCATACCAAAATATGAGACTAATCCTATGGACCCACAATAATTAACCAAACAACACAATCCACAAGTATAATAAACCAAAAGCTCTGATACCATGTTAAAAATTCAGAATTTGAGAGACCTGGCGGGTGGAAAATATCCACCACCCGCCAGTTAGGCGGAAGCAAGATATGTGAGAACCAAAGAACAAGAGAATAGATTATATTGAAAGAATACACTAGATTGTCTCTCTCTTAATGTATATTCTATACTTCTATGGACCTCTATATATACTAAACTAGATACTAAATTAGTCTAGGAAACTACTAATTAATAAGAATAGGAAAGGAAGAGAATAGGAAAGTAAGACAACTTTCCTAATATTCAACACTTGTGATTTCTTTCCTTAACATGTGATTTCTTTCCTTAACAAGTTTAGACTGAAACCACGAATTTTTTAGCAACATCTTTAAAACAAAAAGAAGGATTTAGGCACGAATTAGGGGCATTCAGGACTCACCTCTCTATAACACTACTCGGGGGCTTCAAATCCTTTAAAAGAAACTGATTAAAGAACTGGATGAGAATTTGGATCAAGAGGAGATTCTTTGGTTCCAAAAATCTAGGGTGGATTGGATCCGGGATGGTGACAAGAACACCAATTATTATCACAAGTCTCTAGCAATAGGAGGAACATGGGGCGGGTTTGATTCCTCAAAGCCAAAGGTGAGTGGACTTCCGATACTCATACTTTGTGTAATCATATTATTGGTTTTTTTTTTTCTCGTCTATTTGACAAGGTCCCTCAAGAGACGACGACTGAATGGTGGGATTATTTGGGTCCTAGTCTCGGTGCAAACCAGGCAAACTCCTTAATGAGGTCGGCATATTATCGAGGAGGTGAGAAGAACAAATTTTGGGATGAAGCGGTTCGGGAGTCTAGGCCTGGATGGGATTCAGACTACCTTTTACCAACACTTTTGGGACGTGGTGGATGGGAGGGTCTCTCACAAGGCTTGTCAACTTAACCTTTACCACGAGGAAAGTTCTTACTAATCTGCTGATTGCGTTTATCATGCTTATACCCAAAAATGATAGGCTTGAAACCGTAGGGGATTTCCTCCCATCACCCTTCTCAATGTAGCTTTTAAAGTGATTTCTAAAGTCCTTGTCAACATATTGAGACCTTGGATGCAACGTCTCATTGGGCCTCATCAGAATAGCTTCCTAATAGGTAGATCCACCTTGGATAACGTTATTCTCACTCAGGAGGTAGTTCACACTATGAGAAAGAAATGGGGTAAAGTAGGCACTATGGTGATGAAGTTGAATCTCTAAAAGGCCTACGATAGCTTGGATTGGGAGTTTCTAGAATCCACCCTCAGAGGGTTTGGGTTCTTGGAAAATTATATTAGACTCATCATGTACTCAATCTTGGAATGAAACATCTATATTTTATGGAATGGGGAGAAATTACCCCCCACCCCCACCCCCATTCGTCTAAAAAGGGGGTTACGGTAGGGTGATCCGCTATCACCGTACATTTTCATTCTTGTCATGGAGAGGCTGGAATGGCATATCCAAGAGCAAGTCTAGGCGGGTGGGTAGAAACCCATTCAGTTGTCCCGATGAGGGGTTGGGGTTTCCCACCTATTCTTCGTAGATTATTTGATGCTCTCAGGGTAGCTACTGAAAATCAGATGCAATGAACTGGATGGAGAACTTCTCAATAATGTTAGGTTTGAGAATTAATTTATCTAAGTCTCTTGTGTTTTGTTCACCTAACACTGATAATATGACCAAACGGCGCTTCGGTGAGATTGCCAACATCCCTATCACTGAAAACCTTGGGCGATATAAATTTGGGGATTCTGATTCTTCAACAAAGAGTTACTAATAGTACTTTTGATCACATTCTAGAGAACATGAGATGAAAACAAATTCGCTAAGTATGGTAGGATAGAGGGTCCTTGTCCAGTCCGCACTTGTAACAATGCCAACCTACACCAAGCAATGTCTTGCTCTTCCCATGAGGGTGTGTGAAAATATTGACGAAATTTGTAGAGATTTTCTTTGGGGTCATGACAATGATAATAGGAAAATCCATCTCGTTAGTTGGAAGGAAGTGTGCGCGCCTAGGAGAATGGGGGCCTTGGTCTTTATATGGCCAAAGACACAAACTTAGCATTACTCGCTAAGCTCGCTTAATAGATGGTGACCAACTGGGACAAGCTATATGTGCAAGTTCTTCGTGATAAGTATGTCCCGAATAACAATTTTTTTCACAACCTAGTGACTGTCAACAACTCTTGGGGATGGCAAAACATCATCAAGGGGAGGTCCGTTGTTGAGCTGGGAGCTAGGTGGAAATTTGGAAATGGATCCTCACTTCATTTTTAGTCTGACTGGTCGGTGGGGGAAAGACCGCTCGAGCTAGAACGTGATGTGAAGGTGCCGAATGATTTTGTGATAGCTAAGGTGAGTGATTTTATTACTAATGCTCACAATTGGAATCTGGATTTTTTGCAAGAAATTCTCCCGTGCGCCCTTGTGAACAAAATTTGTGAGATTCCTATTCTAGAAGGGAACCATTCGAAGGATATGTTAAATTAGCCTCAAGGGGATTGAGGGGCTTTCACAGTCAAGTATGCCTCCTATTTGTCTCCTTCCATCGCTGCACCTTTGCCCATGCTTGGAAATGACCGCTTGGTTTGTTGAAACTGCTTAACCATCATTGCTCCGCCCTTGACACTTTCCCCCGTCTCAAAAGGAAGGGTTACCGGAGGTTTTGCCGCCGACTGCATGGACGGAGGCAAGGCTACCAAAACGATAGAAGAAAAAAAAACTTACCTTTACAAACTCAAATAAAAAAGGAGAAATTTTTTTTCCTCTCAAACTCCATTCTTTCCTTTCAATCCACTATGAAAATTCCTTTCACAGTCAAGTCTACCTACAACCTTATTAGTGGAAATTTGGAAAACTCTGGTGACATGGAGCGGATTTGGAAACTAAGGTGTATTGAAAGGATTAAAATCTTTTTGTGGTGCATTGCCAAAGGGAGATTGCTCACCAACGCAGAACGAAAAAAAGAAGATGCCTAACTAGCGATGATAGCTGCCCCAGTGTGGGGAGGAGGAAGAATCAATGAAACACCTCTTCCAAAATTACCAGTTTGCTGAAGAGTATTGGCAATAGTGCGAGAACCAGAAGGGATACATGCGCTCCTTGCTGATGCCGGTGACACTTTGGATTTAGGATAATTGCAGCACAATACTTGGGTATCAACACAACATGAATTGGCCGACGAAGTTTTTCTGCACGTTTTGGGAAATTTGGAAAGGTAGAAATAAGTGGGTCTTCAGGCATGCTTGGAGGGAGCCGAGAGACGTGGTCCAAAAAGATTTTAAGCTTGACAAAGAC